CTCCCAAGACATCTCCCACTCCTCCCGCGTCCAATACACCAATTGGGGCCCTTCATCGATTAGATGGGGACTGGGCTATTTCATCCTGTCGCTCCTCACAACACTTCTCTGCACCTCTCTCATACTTTACCGTATCGGCTACAACTACAAGTACCTTAACATCATTGAGATGCTAGTGGAGTCCGCCGCACTCTATTCGGTGTCGATGATCGTGTTCATCGTGTTCTTCGCAAGAGATGATCCGAGGAATGTATATGCACAAGCGGTTATGAATTCTATCACTGTGAGTGGAAGTTGATTGTACACCGAAACGTGTTGATCATGTACGTAGGGCATTGCGCCTACCTTGATTGTAGAGAGGGTAGCTGCGAAAGGGGGCCTTCTGGATGAGAATGCTGATATGACGATGCGAGGTTCGGAGAAGAGGCTGTCTACTGCTACGACCATGAGGGAGCTGTCTCTGGAATTTTTCCCTGCTCGAAGTGGGGCGCCCAGTCGATTGAGTGGCGCTACCATTGTATGACTTCACAAAATATGATGATGCTCCCTACTTATATGAATCAGAATTGTGCAACGCACTGGACTCTGTCACTTGGCAAAAACGCCATTCACGGGGTCTTGCTGAACCCTCACCACCTCACCAGCAACCAAATGATGGAGAATATTATGTTTACTTGCTCGGTATCTCGCCTGTTGGCCAGTCGGAACTATGCTTCATCACTCAAGAAGAGTCAGAGTTCGTGTACAATGTTCCCATATATTCCAACTCTTCTATTCCCGCTGATCAGCATAAATTTACACGTCAGAACAGACACGTCGGTGGAACAAAATCTCTAGCCATTTTGGATGCTTTCATGTATTCGCAGGCCCGTTACTACCTGAATCATCCATCGACCCGCGGGTTTCTATAGCTACAATGATGGACAATCTGATCACGACGAGTACGAGTCTGATACGGGCACGGCGAATACTGGTCCGAACATAAGCGCCATGGTCGAATCCTCTGTCTTAGGGCCTCTCGCTCTCGTTTTAGTACATTTATTCTGTTCCGGTGGCGAAGAAGATGTGCTTCCAAGTCTAATAGAGACATAGCCGAACTTTCCAGTAACAGCTATCGGGGTCAACAGACTCTGCCATTGCGCAGCGACTCCGTCCCTCTGCGATAAATCCATCCCTCTTTGGCCGCTAGGTGAGCACCATACCCAACGATCAATTACCATTGTACTCTCCGCCCATGATTCTGGCTACCGACACACGAAGATCACACAGGGCCAGGAACGATGTATCACTCAGCACCTCATCCTGTCGCTAGTCCTTCAGAACCAGGGGATATGTCACTGCCATATTATTACTAGGCCGTCCGTCCGAGCCGTCCAGTTTTGATTCTTGAAATTTTGTCATTGTAATATGAATTGCTAGCATTCATCCGGAAAGCAGTAGCTCTTTTCGTCTGGAGAACCAACAAAGGAAAAATTCCAATGGTTATAGTAACCCGTGCATGCAGTCGTAGGCTGACAGACCTCGCTGAGGGCGAGATCAAGTGAAGACGCAAAGCGGCAAGTCGAAGGGGCGGCGGTGCGATCCGAGTCCGGCGTGAGCGCTCGGGCCAACTCGCCGTTGGCTATCAATTCGGCCGAAACTGAACAGCATTGAACTTCGCTACCACCACAAGGTGATTATCATCCTGATCCTCAGCTCGCAAGTCTCCTCGTGGAGGTGTCTATATTTGCGCCTGATTCACCTCATTTGTGGTCTTGTACTGCGTCGGACGGTTATCCTATCATTTCTGCTTCTGTGATGATTCTTTCTCTTGGAATCCTTTCTCTGGCAGAACTTGACCATACAGACAGTCTCTTGGCCTTCTCCTCTGAACTGTTGGGTAACAATGAGAACCTCGATCGTTGATCCGCGATGTCCACTCAGACAGTTTGATGGTTACAGGCGATGTTATAAATTAAAATTGTCCGCGGAGCAGCACGATTTTCCCATTCCTAGCACCTCGTCCAAGCAATGGACCTTTTTTGCTTGCGCTCTTTTCTCATTTGTATATTTTTTCTACTCAACCGCAGTGTCCTGGGACGGCTTGTGAACGCTACAATCGACGATCAGAGTCTTTCTCTGTTCTATTCTCCTGACGATGCCTGGAATGATAGCAAGCATCCGTGCCAACACTGTACCGCACACCCCGATGCCTCGATGACGATAAATGGGACATGGCATGATTCTACAGTGAGTCCTTCCATTCACGCAAGAGTCAGCTGTTCATACTGCAGGTAAAGTTCGACCAAGAAGCGCAGGTTAGCCCTAACCAAGTGCGCAACGTATCCACGACATTTAATGGTGAGTGGTAGTTTCTACTCATAAACGAATTCTTCGCTCAGTGAATGCAAGGCACGGCCATCTATGTAATGTGCATACTCGCCAAAACCACTTCCTCACCTACCGGGAACTCAGACATGAGTTTCTACATCGATGATGACCTCGTTGGCCAGTTCTCACAAACCGCTCCCGGAGAGCCAGGCTTCGAGTATAACGTCACCGTCTATTCCAACTCTTCTATTCCCGTTGGTATGCATAGATTCACAGTTCAGAACGGTCATGCTGGTGGAAGAAAAGCACTGCTTCTTTTCGATGCCTTCATCTACTCGTATGTCCACCACTAATATCTACCGAAACGATTCGCTTACCTTGAAGTTTCAAAGCTATGATGACGGTCAATCTGATCACGATGACTCGGCTGCGACGACCACTATGAGCGTAGGCACCATCATCGGAGTGGTTGTTGCACTACTTGTTGCCGGCATTCTAGGAACAATAACGTTTTTGCTCTATCGGCGTAGAAGACTCATTCTTAAGCTTGGAAACAGACACACTATCCTTGAAGCTTATAAGGATCGAAGACCAAGGGCACCTCCATCAACGATCAATTCCTTTAGGACAACACATGTATTTCCTAGTTATCATCATGCACCGCCATCAAATACTTCTATATCTTCTTTCGTGGCGAATAGCAATCCCAGCTTGCGACAGGCTGATAAACGGCCAATCCCCGACACGCAAAAGCGAGACCGGTTTGGGAATACAACTCCTCGTAACTACCAAACCGCCGAAGAACCTGGGAAACCGTTTGATGAAGAAGATGCTGATATTTGGTCCTCTAGTGAGACTCGAGCGGAGGGTTCGGAGAAAAGTGTTCATCACGAGGGGATCAGAAAATAACCTTGAGATCCTAAAGAGCCTTCGAAAGTATTTTTGTCAGGACTTCCAGTGTTGTATCAATGAAGGAACCCTCGATTTTGCTACCGTCTTCCACTCTCTTATCATCCCTCCTGAGTCCTGAACAGTCCGTTTGTATTACTATATCGACCATCTGCTTGTTTAGCTATCATATTTAACTATACTTATATGCACGGAAGCACTCTATCGATCCTGTCTGACAGGTCGTTTTGACCATTTCTGCTTCAAGTTCAGCTATAGAATTCCGGGTGAGCGTGCGCGTTGTGTCGGCAAGTCCGACTCTCATAAGGTTAGAGAATCCAAGACTATCCATAGATGTTCAAGTAGTATCTGAACTTAGGGTACTGCCGCCGCGGCAATCTCAAGGCTCGGACCGGACCTCCGTTCTTCTCTTGCCCTGCAACCATCTTCGAAGAGTTGACCCTTAGCTTCCTAGCTGCACCCTTTTCACACACCATTGATGACTTCGCGGTAGTATAAATGAAGCTGAGTTCTTTCTATAGTAATACGACGGCGACTCCCACTCCGTCAACTTGCGTCATCCACCATCGAACCATCCCATCGAACAATGGTTCTAGTTCTCTAAAATTTAGGGTTTATCGTGGAATCAGACACAATTCAGATCATTCAAGCCGTGGAACGTGGAAATAATCCTCTGATACCTAGCAACAACGAACGAATCGTCTGGCTTCTGGCTTCTCTTTTCCACTCTATCGCCAATCTCCATGACATGAACGGGATAGAAAGGTTCTGTCTTGGTTCACGAAATCTAGGGAGCCTTCGTGCTTAGGATTTGATCATTCGTAAAGGTCGATGATAATACCTTTGTCTTGACTTTGTTGCCCCTGGCTTTCTCTTGACTTGTCACATTGATACTAGTGTCTTTTTCTGTCAAAGGACAAGTCGAAGCGTCGCCTTTGAGGGCGTATAAAGCCTCCAAGAACCAGAATATGGTCCGTATTACACCCACCAATATTTGACGTCCGAACTTATGTTTCCTTCAGCTCTTCGCCACTCGATCTCCAAGATCAGCCCCCTTCTGACGAACGGCAAACGCTGCGTGGCAGTTCTACCTTCTGCCACGTCAGTCCTCCTCAATCCACGACCAAACGTCTTCGTTGACGCGTCTAGTAAATGGGGTGTTGGGATATATATCGACGGGCTTTGGGACGCGTGGCGCTACCACCCTAAGCAATCGTTCACATCGGCACATATTAACTGGCTAGAGGCCCTCGCAGTGGAAATCGGAGTACGTGCTATCGAAGCGCGAGGTGTGCAGGCAACGATTTTCAGCGACAATACCGGAGTCATTCGTGCTTTCAAGGAGAAGAAGAGTCGAGATCCCTGGATCGAGTCCTCAGTCAAGCGGATACATTCACTACTTGAGGCGAAGAAGATGAAGGTAGAATTGCTTTATGTGTCGACGAAGGATAATCCGGCGGATGCTTACTCGAGAGGGAAGTTTGGTCTTCTAGAGAAGAGGGTTGTATGGCCGTTGGATCTTCCCCGAGAACTGAGTTCTGTTGTTTTGAGGGCCGTGTTTTGACTTTTGGTAAGCTCCTCTGTCCTAATCATCAATCACTTTCGAGCCCGATGTACTTGGCAGTTTCCCAGACGTCGAGGTTCACTACGCAATGAAAAGCGAGTGACTTTACTACAATTGTATCGGACGCCCATGGTTGGCCAGCTGTGCGCGCCATGCCATTTTGGATTGGGCGTCGAGTTCGTCTGCTCAAAGTACGATTATTATGATAGCACTGGAGTCTCTGGTAGTATATCGGTTAGTACACGCGCCTGTCATAGTCATGGTTTTCGCAGCCCGAAATTCGCGCGAAAGCTGGGTTCGACTCCCAGCCAGAGAGACAATTGCTCCTAACTGAAATTACTTTTTTTTTTGTCGAATCAAGATACTTAGCAGGGATGCAAGCGGCGGCGGCGGCGGGGCGGGGCCGGGGCCGATGGCTCAGGAATTTTCAGATGGTTCTTGGAGTTAACGAGGTAGGTGCTCGGACGTGGTGACGGAAAATAGGCTCGAGAGAAAAAGAGAGCGATGCTGAATAGAATAGCCATAGCGTTAATCTCAGCGTGTTGGTAAAAAGCTTTGTATTATATACCTGAATAGAATAGCCAGTAGCGTTACTATAATATGGTAAGTATGATACTAGGACGAATATACGTAGAAGTACTCACATCTCAGCGTGTTGGTAAAAAGCTGAGATGCGAGGCTGTGCAATGTAAACGAAAAAGGAAGGTAAAATCAAATACGTAGTCCATGCGTCTCGTACTGATACCACGTCTAACACTCCCCCTCGAGACGTACGCGGCTCGTTTACACAACACCCAGCGCTTCCGTAAACTTCTTGAACTTTTGACGAGCCAACGGTTTTGTCAGGACATCAGCAATCATGTCATCAGTAGGGCAGTACTGCAGCTTGATGTGACCTTGCTCAATGGTTTGCCGGATAAAATGGTAACGAACTCCAATGTGCTTTGTACGTTCGTGGAATACTGAATCCTTGGCAATAGATAGGGCATTTTGGCTGTCAGAGTAGAGGATAGTGGGTTCAGTTGGATAGATGGAAGGGTTCGCGATGAAGGTGGAGAGCTCGGAAAGGATCTTATGCAGCCAGATCATGTTTTTGGATGCTGGTGTCAGTCCGATGTATTCCGATTCGCCTGTGGAAACGGTAATGATTGGTTGTTTTCTCGATGTCCACATGACAGCGCCCTGACCCATGAACAGCACGAATCCAGACATAGATTTCCGCCCGGGCTGGTTAGCATATGCTGCATCATGATAGCCCTTAGGATTGATATCAGGGCCACCGATTACGAGCCGTTGGTCGTGCGTGCCCTTGAGATAACGAAGGACTCGGAATCCGGCCTTTAGGTGTGTTGAGCGCGGTTCCTCCACATATTGTGAGAGTGCTGAGACCGAATAACTGATTTCAGGGCGAGATCCGACTGCAACATACATGAGGGAGCCCAGGAGTTCGCGATAGAGTGCTTTTTTGCGTGGTGTGACCGGTTCCATGGACACAGAAGGTGATTCTGGGTTTAAATCGAGATTTGCTTCCATTGGTGTCGCAAATGGGGCCATGTCCTCAACACCAAATCGTTTCGCAATCTGGTCAATATATGCAGGCTGTCCGATGCTGATAGTGTGTTTCTCCCAGTCCCGAGTGATGTGCATGCCCAGCAGCCAGTGAATAGGCCCGAGATCGACTAGTTCAAAATGGGAGCCAATTTCTTGTTTAAATCGGTTTGACTCTTCTTGGGAGTCTGCTATGATGGTAAAGTCATCCTGTGGCAACTGCGACAATGGTGTATTTTGTCGCTGATTCGATCCGATAGAAGACGGCCTCATCCGCATTGCTAACTATGAACCCGAGAGAGATCATCGTTGACTTTAGGGTCTGGTACCAGCCTCGGCCTGCTTGCTTCGTGCCGTACAGACACTTGAGCAGCTTGGCACAGACATCCTGGCCCTTGAGGTGTTCCGGGATCTCGAAGAATTCTTCGTATCTGTTCGGAAACTTGATATAGATCTCCTCAGTGATATTGGCATGCAGGTACTGCGTTTTTGATATCGGCTTGATCAATTATTGCATCATGAGATGCAGCCATGGATAGAAGGATGCGGAGAGTGGGGAGATGGACAACCGGGGCATAAGTGTCAAAGTAGTCGACACCTTGGACTTGAGTAAATCCTTTAGCTACGAAACGCGACTTTGCCTTTTCGGGCTCACCAGTTTCATTCTGTTTGACCCAGTAAACGAACCTCATGTCCACGATATTTGCATTCGTGGGAACGTCTTCTCTTTTCATCACCTTCCATGCTTTCTTCTTCTCGCACTGCCTTACTTCTGCAAGCATCGACTCACGCCATTCCCCTTCATCAGGACCGCTCAGTGCCTCTTTCATGGTCACTGGTTCAATATCCGCTATCATGGCATAGTCTACCAGTGAGGGGCCCAATGGCTCTTCATCATCATCATCGTCTGACTCATCTTCGGGAACAGTCACCGCTATTCCAGCAGTAGTGGGACGTTTACGCAAGTCTGGTTGTGCGAGTTGGCCTGGTTTTGGAGCTGCAGAGCGCTTGGGTCAGCTTGGCTGAGGAGTGGGATCAGACTCTATGTCTGTGAGTGGAGATTCCGGACGTTCTGGGTGAGTTTCTGTGGGATTTTGTGGTTCGTCTGGTTGATTTTCGGTGGGCTGAAGGGTTGTAGATGACTTTGGAGCCTGAGGAGAGTCGATATCTTCATCCTCCCCCTCGACAACGAATGGTTCTGGAGTCAGGTCTTCCTTGTTAAAGTAAACATCACGTTCAATGCTGACCCTTCGCTTTCCAGGCCAGTAAATCCTCCAGCCTTTGGCTTCAGTATCAATTCCCACAAAATGCGCCTCAACAGCATGTTCACCAAGCTTTTCCGGTGCCTTGACTCGGACCCAGCAACGGCATCCCCATGGACGAAGACCGGAGATGTTGGGCTTTCTGCCAGTTGCCATCTCAAATGGGGTTTTCCCTGATGGTATTGCTTTCGTTGGGGTGCGGTTATAGACCCATTTCGGCTGTGCCGGTGAGCTTCAGCCCATAGATATTTTGGTAATCCTGAACTGATTAGGAATGCTCTCAGTCGTGTCCATCAGATACCCGTTGGAACGTTCAGGCAATTCCATTTGACTGTGGGGAATCGTGTACTGTGAGGTGCCACTCTGTCCCCTTCGCCTTGAGGTGCTGAGTGAACTCGTCGCTTAGGAATTCTCCCCCTCGATCTGTACCCAGGATTTTTATGACCTCAACACCATGCTGGACCTTGATCCAGATCTCGTAGCGCTTGTACGACCCAAAGGTACCCGATTTCTTTGATAGATACTCGGATTTTGATTCGTGGGTATGTAGGTCACGATATGTGCAGGCATAGCATGCTCCCCCAAGTGATATGACCGACATCGGACCCATTAAGTCTCCAACAACCTTGTCGCCAGTGTTCTCAACGTACTCATATTGGCCTTGCTTAGGGAATGGTTTGCGTTTCGCCTTGGCCTTTACGCAGGTCTCGCAGAATTCCGGTTTGGAATCCAGGTCAAGCTCTATTCCCTCAATATGGCCATCAACGTACATGCGACGGAGAGTGGCATGGCTTCGGTGAGCACAGATATTGTGTAGCTCAGTGATGTTCACTTTGAGCTTGCCTGCCGCCATGGCGACATCTGGTTTTGCTCCCGTGGTCTGGCGTGTGCTTGGGGTTGAGATGATGTATAAGCCTCCAGTTTCAGGGATCTTGGCTATGACCTTGGCATCAGGCCGTGGTGTGCGGATATACATGGTACGGTCAGAGGGTTCGATATGGATGGGAAATCCAGCACGGCTGACGTGCGATAGGGATATGAGGGTGTATGCCATTTTCGGTGCATGGTACGCATTTCGGAATCTTGCGATGGTGGGCTTTTCATCTTTACCCATAGGCAATGGCATTTGAAGGTCCCCTTTGCCTACTGCATAGAAGACTTCACCATTCGCGGCTTTGATAGGCTTCGGGTCAATGTTGGTATAATTTTTGAATCTCCAACGTTCGGGTGAGTACGTTTTCGAAGCTCCGCAATCAGCAATCACTGTAACTTCTTCTCCCCTTGCTACAGTGAGCATCGCCCTCAGCCTTGTAGTCCGACGTGCATATTAAGGCCACATTTGAGTCATCGTTGTCATCAGCTACAACCGCAATGACATGCTCATCATCACTTTCGTCAATGGCCGCTGATGCCGATTCCTTTGCCTTCCCTTTTCCCTTAGCCTTGTTCTTTTTCGAAGCTGGGCCTTGGCCCGCTTTTCCACCACCCTCGCACCAGCAATCTGCAATGAGGTGGCCGGTTTTGCTGCATACCGGGTTCGTGCATTTAAGGTGGGATCTGTCTGGTCTTTGCCTTGACTTCCCCCCTGAGCCCTGACCTCTTCCTTTGTTCTGCCGTTGAGCAGACATTGCCATGTTTTCAGCTGTGGCCTTTGATGCCACTTCTTCATCCCATTCTTCATGTAGTGCCGCAACAAGGATGTCTGATGTGAGGGGTTTTCCAGTGAATTTGCTGGCTGCAGAGAGGGTGCGGCGGATGTGGTCATAGGAAGGTGGGAGCGATTTTTGGATCATCGACGTGTACTGGTTGTCTTCAATTTTCAGGCTCATGCCCTCAATACGTTCACGGAGGATCTTCATCTCACCAAGGTGCTCTCGCATGTTGCCTTCATCAGGGCAGGACATGTTGCTGAGCCAGGTCAGGAGGTGTTCGCAGTACGAGGTCGCCCTTGCCAGTCATGACAGCAATGAGCTTTTTCCAGACGAGAGCGGCTGTCGCTTCGCCTTTGATCTCGTTGAAGGTAGAGTCGGAGATGGATTCGTAAATGATGCAGCGCATCTTTGCCTCTTTCTGCTCATACTCTTCAAGCTTATCCTCCAGCTTCTCCAGGTCATCATCCGAGAGAGGGTGTGAAAACGCAGTGTCGGTGGACCGGTAGAATTTTCCTTTGTGCTCAACTGGGTGAGGGGGTACACGAGCAGTTCCTCGTAGGTGTCGGCCAAGACCCTTGTCCAGGAACTTGACAGTAGTTTTTTCTTCGAACGCTACCCAGTTCGATCCATCGTCTTCGAGCTTTGTTGTGCTGACTAGCTTTATGGCAGTTGTCGTTGACATGCTGGTAGCGGGGCCCATAACCTCTTGGAGTTAACGAGGTAGGTGCTCGGACGTGGTGACGGAAAATAGGCTCGAGAGAAAAAGAGAGCGATGCTGAATAGAATAGCCGTAGCGTTACTATAATATGGTAAGTATGATACTAGGACGAATATACGTAGAAGTACTCACATCT